AGGCAGTGGTAATGCAATACACAGACTGGGCAGATGAACATGCTGGTGTTAAGAACCGGGAGGCAATGGATGATTTGGTGGGAGATCAAAACGTAATTTGTCCTGTGACTCACTTTGCTGGAAAAGCATCAGAGTTTGGAAACAGGGTGTATGCCTACTTCTTTGACCACAGGGCATCCAACTTAGCCTGGCCACAGTGGATGGGTGTACCACATGGATATGAGATTGAGTTTGTCTTTGGTCTTCCTCTGGATGTCAGTCTGAACTATACCCCAGAAGAAGCAGAGTTAAGCCGGAAGATTATGCGATACTGGGCTAACTTTGCAAGGACCGGGTGAGGAAATAGGCATATAAAGGGGAAAGGGTTATTTTTTTGAGAGAGAGCTGAATAATGGTAACTGGTAGGAGAGGGTATTGATTAAGCAGATGGTTTTACATAGAGTTTATTAAAATATCTAGAATTGGGTGAATATTATAAAAGTTTCTGTAGTATGTTTTACATTTTTAAAGAGGTGTTTTGAGGAGCGTTTACATAATATATTTTATCTTACAATAATCCTTTCCCAACAGTGACCCAAATGAAGGTAGTGATGTCCGTCTACAACGTTGGCCTCTGTACACTGGGACAGAGCAGAGGTACATAGCACTCAATAACAAGCCTGCGAAGAACCTGCAGGGAATCAGAGTCCAGACGTGTATCTTCTGGAACCGTTTCCTGCCCAAACTGCTCAACATCACAGGTACCAGAAACTCTCCCTGACCTCTTTTAAATTCAAACCAAGCTATCGTGTATAGATATACATCTAAACTTAGACATCTTATACCTAATATCATATTTTTATGTTTCGACTATTTGCCAACAAACGTTTTTGACTGTCGTATCCACATGCCTGAAAATCAGACTGACGGACTGCTGATCTGGTTTCTGACCACTAACCAACTAGCATGTTATTTACCAATGTTAACTGTTGACCTTTTGTTCTCTGACCTTTAAATCTTTTAAATCTGATCTTCAAACTCTCGAACTGTTTTCTCAATTTCTAGCCTGTGATTTCTAAATATTTGTGCTGCTTTCACTTGATCTCTAAATATCCAAACTTTAACTTTGCTTTTAATCCAAACTTACTTGCATTTACCAAGAGCACTAGAATGATTGTTCAATAGTCTGACCACTAATCAACCCCTGCATTAACCCACTGAATATACCCAAGTTTGTCCAATCCTTACTTAACTATTTGCATAAAATATATACATCTGGTGTGATCCACTAAGGGCCAGATCTATGGCATAGCTAGCTGAGGCCATCTGTTTCTTAGTTAATCCATGGTAACAGATGTTCTAGGTGCTGACTATGCCTTTTTCTGTCTGAGATATAGATATCATACATCCATTAAAGGGAATGGTTTTAAAAAATCTACAAAATAAATGTGTTGTTTGATATCTGCCCTAGAATATGTCTAATGACTCTCTTCCTTGTAGTGACCAGAGAGCCCTACTCGAACGGTTCCCGAAACAGCCCCCTTGTGTCACTGCTCACACTGTGTGCAATTCTGTCAAAAGCACAAATTTTGATACCTTGGTTCTGATCGGAAAAAAACCTGCTAACACTGTGCCAACAACACAATATTGACAATTCTTTGGACACCTGTCCTCTAACATGCACAGATACTGGGCAGAAAACATATTTCATCTTGTCTTTCTTCTATCTGTTTTTCATATTTCGTTCTGATCACACCTGTTCTCACATTATTCATAGCTTGTCACAATCAATAAACATTTCATTTTATTCTAACTCTGGCCTTTCTATTTGTGCAATTTATTTCTGCTTGATTTCTTCCTATATAACTCAATTCATTTTCTCTATTAATTGTATTTATTTATATTCATCCCATCACATCTTTATGTGTTTGTTTTACTTCTCATCAGCACTTGGTGGTGCTTGCCGTCTTCGAGTATCTCCACCACCATCTTCAATTATTCGCTTATCAATTTTTTTATTTCATCATTAGTACTAACCTTTCAGACAGAACAACTAAACCCAAACTCTTTCTCCACCTTTACACACCATGACTGCATTGTGACACATGGTTTACCTTTGTCCATAGGCCTTCAAAATTCAATCTAAACTTTACTTGCTTCAGTTTATTTTACTCAATTCAATCTAACCCTCTAGGTCCTGGTGTTATTAATGCCATCAGCTGTTGTCCCCAGTCCTCAGTCAAACAAACCATAAATCCATTGTGTCCTTCACCTTCTCCAAATGTATCTCCAAAAACACCCAACCAATCAAATACCCCCAGTTATAAGGTCTAACAAACTAACCCTTGATTTGTGGTAGGTGTTACTCTGAAATACCATATGGCGAGGAAGTCAAATATTTCACGACTGATGCACACTTTCTCCTCCCTTACCTATCTTTTACTGCCCGTCTACTCTACACCTGCTTTTTTTGTCCCAATTTCATTCTATTTTTCCTGTACTTTTTGTTGCTCTTACCTCACACCTTTTCTTTATTCTCTCTTCCTTGATCCCTCTCTGTTTTTCTTCCCCCTGTCCTTTTCTCTTTTCTTCTTTTTCAGATAATATTGATGAAGCAGAGCGACAGTGGAAGGTAGAATTTCACCGCTGGAGTGCCTACATGATGCGGTGGAAGAATCAGTTTGACCATTATAGCAAGCAAGAGCGCTGTAGCGAGCTGTGACACCACTGTGACATCACTATGCCATTGCAAACCACAATCCTCAGTTCTACAAAAACAAAAAACAGCAGAAAACTGTGATATAATTGTGTTGCAATCTTGAATTTGCTGCACATTTCCTCCAGACTGCAACCATGCATAGGAGATGTAATAATCTGTGAGACTATTCACATCACAACACAGACATCCCCATGAACCCACACACTGTCACTCAAGTGCTCTCAGCGAGATATATATTTAGACACATAAACAGTTTTACACATGCATAATTGTGATTCCTCACTACATCTTGTGTTTGCTCCTGTCCTTTGTACTGTACGTCCCCCACCTCCTTCCAGGGGCATGTCTTCTGTATTATGCTGTGACCCTTCGCATGTCCTTCTGTATATAGTGTTTGATGAGAAAAAAAAAAGATATACATATATATATATAATATATATATACATATTTATAATATATATATGGTGGGAGATCTATGCGTATGCTATTTATTTGTGATGCTGTGAATGTCAGACCTCATACCTCCCACCAGATGCCAAAGTGAAAATATTCCCTTGATATAGATTATGTTGTGTATAGTATAACTATGCATACATTGTATGTATTGTCCTATAATTACCTTCCCACTAAATGCATTATATTTATTGTGCACCACAACAAACCCCATTTTACTTGTTTCCCTCCATAAGCAAACCTATATGTGCTCTGATCCTCTACATTGACTGTACATTACATATTATACCCAATGGCCTACTTGTTGGATGTTCAGCATTAGCTACAAATACACGTACTCACGTTATAATAACATGTCTTACACACACTCCAATCAATGTCAGGTTATATGAATACTGCTACATCTTTAAGTTCCTTCAATATCTGTATGCATTCTTTGATCTCTTCCAATCATCTGCTCATCATTTAACCCCTCACTTTTTGAGAACCCAATGACTTCCATGCAATACTGCTGTATGAACAATCATATGTGTACAATGTATAATACCCACCTACTTATGAGTTATATTAAAATAAAACTAATTTATTTGTTTTTACAATGATATGTTTACCCAGTGGTCCATTACAAAAAAATTGGATTACTACGCCCACCCAATACATTCTGTGTACAGCCTGTTACAATATAGAACCAGTACTCAATATTTAACATGTTACTTGAACAATCCTTCACTGATAATGTAATGGCTGGTTCGTGTGCTCTCTTAGAAAATCCATGGCTATATCACCAAGACTTCTTTGTGTGTACTAAAAAAATTATTTGTGTGTACTTTCTTTATATGAATGTTAAAAAGAAATCTGTCCGTAAACCAAACTAGTCATCAATGATGGCTTCTCCCAGTGTAGGCCTTAGCAGGAATTCAGTGTAAAAAAAAAATGCATTAAAGGGACATTCCAGTCAACTATGCCCCTTCACTTTCATTCCAGTGCGAGGTACATACATTTTTCACTCTGTTTTGTGAATGAGGAGCTCAGATGGAAACGGAAGTGAAGGAGCAGAGCTGATGGGTGCCAGATTAATGACTTTGGTGTTAAACTATTAGATAATGATTTAATCACTCCAGGTAAGCCGATGCTCAGGTACTTATCGCACCATCATTCCATTGAAGTTTTTACACAATTGGACATTAGTGTTGAGTAGAATACAATAATTAACAGCAGCACCTCTGTAAAGCACAAAGAAAGTCTGAGGATGTTATCTCTGCATCTTAAGGTGGTTAGCACAACCAGGAAACACATAAACACAGCAGAGGGCTCTTATGGTAGTGGGAGGATACAAGATATTTTTATATATATATATATTTTATATATTTTTATAAGGTTGCCCATGATAAAGGTGGCCATTCACAAAGTATTGCTTTAAAGAGAGGAGAAGTCAACCCAGGAGGCGTTATTCACTTAAAGTGTACTCCTGTATTGGAAATGACACTTGAATTAGCAATATATCCAAGGAACAAAGTCATTAGTCAATTCACAAGCCTCTTTAAATGGATACAGACATTCATATGACGCACTGACGGTTAAAATAAATACCCAAAAGTATTTCTTGTCTGGTAGCCAAGTTGCAGATAAAATCATGTATATTGTGTGGCTGGTTTTATGTTTGAAACAGTGTCTTCTAACTATTCTTAAAATATCTGTTTTATTTATTTGTCCGTTGAGGTCAATATGATTCTTTGTGTCCATTCTAAATAGCATATCCAGGGAAAGAAAAGAATTGAGTTGGCTGTAATAATTTGTTTGATCTCTCTGAAATCTACCATCAAGATATACTCTGCTCAGCCACAACATTAAAACCATCTGCCTAATATTGTGTAGGTCTACCTTGTGCTGCCAAAACAGCTCTGATGTCTGGTGGCATGGACTCCACAAAACCTCTGAACGTGTCCGGTAGTAACTGGCACCAAAACATTAGCAACTACCCTTTAAAGGAACACTATAGGGTCAGGAACACAAACATGTATTTCTGACCCTATAGTGTTAAAACCACCATCTTGCTTCCCTAAATATAGTAAAATCTGCCTCTGACCTGCCTGCTGTCTGCTGACATCATCAGAGTTGGTGGTCTGAGCCAATCACAGTGCTTTCCATAGGATTGGCTGAGACTGTCAGGGGCAGAGCCAGCAACATCAAACACAGCCCTGGCCAATCAACATCTCATCATAGAGTTGAATTGAATCAATGCATCTCTATGAGGAAAGTTCAGTGTCTGCATGCAGAGGGTGGAGACTCACTGTGCAGCACTGCCCCAGGAAGCACCTCTAGCAGCCATCTGAGGAGTGACCAGTGGATTTATCACTATTTTGTAATGTAAACGCTGCATTTTCTCTGAAAAGACAGGGTTTACAGCAAAAACCTTGAGGGGGATGATTATACTCACCAGAACAAATGAAACTAGAAAAGCTACAATTTCTGAGGAAATTGTGTGAAGTGTTCTTGCCTCCACCAGTAGTCTACAACAGGAGTGGGCGGAGTAACTGTTAATAGAACAAACACAAATAAGGTGTGGTAAACCAATGGCGCTTTGTGATATAAGATAGAAAGTTTTTTAGTTCATCTGCTATATGCACTCAGTACTCCAAAAACCCACTATAATAGATAGACACCAAAGCAAACAAATACTTAAACAGTGAGTGGGTACAAAAAGACCTTCTCACTATTCAGTAAATAGTGCAACGCTTTGAGTGTCATATAAGAAAAAGTAAACTATACACTGTACACTTACCCCTCACAACAAACAGGGGATATTCATGTAAAATAAACAGAGAAAAAAGTATATAGGGTAATGTTGTTTGGTATCAATTATAATTGGGTAAAATACATTGAATAGAAACAAACTCACATTTTATAGAGCCTTTTATGGAGATACAGGCTCTAAACACTTCTGCCTCTGTGCCTTTAAAGTAGGCAACAGCACCTAAATGGTGAACTTTGTTCCTCTTTTTCCAGCAAGTAGTTTATCTCCCAAAAAGAGCAGAAAAGACTCTGGGTGCAGATTAGACTTAAAACATTGGTGCACAATATAAAACAGTAATCAGTGCTCACCTACTAGAGAGCCTTGTAACCCCTTAAGGACCAAACTTCTGAAATAAAAGGGAATCATGACATGTCACACATGTCATGTGTCCTAAAGTGGTTAATAACTGGCTCTAAGTATAAAAGGTATGTGTGTCAAATTTGGCAGGCTGACACTACCCACAACCGGATCCAAGGAGCATAAGTAGGAGGTAGAGGTGAGTATATAAAAATATAATACACTCCTACGGAAGCTGGCGTCTTCTCACTATGATTTTCACAGTGAGAAACGCGGAAGCCCTCTAGCGGCTGTCAATGAGACAGTCACTAGAGGCTGGATTAACCCTAACATAAACATAGCAGTTTCTCTGAAACTGCTATGTTTATAGAAAAAAGGGTTAAACCTAGCTGGACCAGGCACCCAGACCACTTCATTAAGCTGAAGTGGTCTGGGCGCCTATAGTGGTCCTTTAACTAGAAAAGCTACAATTTCTGGGGAAATTGTGTGAAGTGTTCTTGCCTCCACCAGTAGTCTACAACTCCAGTTGAAGACTACTGGTGGAGCAGTACGAGGACTTCTGGTGCCAGTGTACATTGTTCAATAAACACAATTGAAAAACAGAATTTAAAATGTTATTATAAAATGCGAGGCTGTTTATCAACTGTAGAAAGCATGTTTTTTATAGACTGGAATTGTGGAGCGTTTACTGGGAAAATACATAACAAAAGGTGTGCATAAGTAAGTGTTATATAGGTAAGTGTTATAAGACAACGTTATAAGAAGAGGTCATATGGAATAATAGAAGGAGTTATAGCGAGATCTTATGTGGAGTAATAAGAGGAGTTATAGGGAGAGGTTATATGGAGTAATAGGAGGAGTAATAGGGCGAGGTTATATGGAGTAATAGGAGGAGTTATATGGAGATATATGGAGTAATAGGAGAAGGTATAGAGCGAGGCTTTATGGAGTAATATGAGGAGTTATAGGGAAAGGTTATATGGAGTAATAGGAGGAGTTATAGAGATAGGTTATTTAGAGTAATATAAATCATAGAGAGAGGTTGTTTTGCATAATAGGAGCAGCTATAGGGACAAGTTATACAGAGTAATAGCAGAGGTTTCAAGAAGAGATTTTATAGAGTAACATGAGGAGTTATACCGAGAACTTGTATAGAGTAATAGTGAGTGTTGTAGAGAGAGGTTATCTGCAGTAATAGGAGGAGCTATATATGGATTAATAGCAGGAATTATAGAGAGAGGTTACATGGAGTAATATGAGGAGTTATAGGGAGAGGCTATATGGAGTAATAGGAGACGTTTAATGGAGAGGTTATATGGAGTAATAGGAGGAGTTACAGCGAGAGTTTATATGAAGTAATAGGTGGCGTAATATGGAGATATATAGATTAATAGGAGGAATTATAAAAAAGAGGTTACATGGAGTAATTTGAGGAGTTATAGGGATTGGTGATATGGAGTAATAGGAAATGTTAAATGGAGAGGTTATATGGAGTAATAGGAGGAGTTATAGGGAGAGGTTATATGGAGTAATAGGTGGAGTTACAGGGAGAGTATATGAAGTAATTGGAGGAGTTATAGAGAGAGGTTATATGGAGTAATAAGAGGAGTTATAGTGAGAGTTTATATGAAGTAATAGGTGGAGATATATGGAATAATAGGAGGAGTTATAGAGAGAGGTTATATGGAGTAATAGGAGGAGTTATAGAGAGAGGTTATATGGAGTAATAGGAAGAGTTATAGAGAGAGGCTATATGGAGTAATAGGAGGAGTTATAGGGAGAGTTTATATGGAGTAATAGGAGGAGTTATAGGGAGAGGTTATATGGAGTAATAGGAGGAGTTATAGGGAGAGGTTATATGGAATAATAGGAGGATTTATAGGGAGAGGTTATATGCAGTAATAGGAGGAGTTATAGAGAGAGGTTATATGGAGTAATAGGAGGAGTTATAGGGAGATGTTATATGGAGTAATAGGAGGAGTTATAGAGAGGTTATATGGGGTAATAGGAGCAGTTATAGGGAGAGGTTATATGGGGTAATAGGAGGAGATATAGGGAGAGGTTATATGGAGTAATAGGAGGAGTTATAGAGAGAGGTTATATGGAGTAATAGGAGGAGTTATAGGGAGAGGTTATATGGAGTAATAGGAGGAGTTATAGAGAGAGGTTATATAGAGTAATAGGAGGAGTTATAGGGAGAGGTTATATGGAGTAATAGGAGGAGTTATAGGGAGAGGTTATATGGAGTAATAGGAGGAGTTATAGAGAGAGGTTATATGGAGTAATAGGAGGAGTTATAGGGAGAGGTTATATGGAATAATAGGAGGAGTTATAGGGAGAGGTTATATGGAGTAATAGGAGGGGTTATAGAGAGAGGTTATATGGAGTAATAGGTGGCGTAATATGGAGATATATAGATTAATAGGAGGAATTATAAAAAAGAGGTTACATGGAGTAATTTGAGGAGTTATAGGGATTGGTGATATGGAGTAATAGGAAATGTTAAATGGAGAGGTTATATGGAGTAATAGGAGGAGTTATAGGGAGAGGTTATATGGAGTAATAGGTGGAGTTACAGGGAGAGTATATGAAGTAATTGGAGGAGTTATAGAGAGAGGTTATATGGAGTAATAAGAGGAGTTATAGTGAGAGTTTATATGAAGTAATAGGTGGAGATATATGGAATAATAGGAGGAGTTATAGAGAGAGGTTATATGGAGTAATAGGAAGAGTTATAGAGAGAGGCTATATGGAGTAATAGGAGGAGTTATAGGGAGAGGTTATATGGAGTAATAGGAGGGGTTATAGAGAGAGGTTATATGGAGTAATAGGAGGAGTTATAGGGAGAGGTTATATGGAGTAATAGGAGGAGTTATAGGGAGAGGTTATATGGAGTAATAGGAGGAGTTATAGAGAGAGGTTATATGGAGTAATAGGAGGAGTTATAGAGAGGTTATATGGAGTAATAGGGGGAGTTATAGAGAGAGGTTATATTGAGTAATATGAGGAGTTATAGAGAGAGGCTATATGGAGTAATAGGAGGAGTTATAGGGAGAGGTTATATGGAGTAATAGGAGGAGTTATAGGGAGAGGTTATATGGAGTAATAGAAGGAGTTATAGGGAGAGGTTATATGGAGTAATAGGAGGAGTTATAGAGAGAGGTTATATGGAGTAATGGGAGGAGTTATAGAGAGAGGTTATATGGAGTAATAGGAGGAGTTACAGAGAGAGGTTATATGGAGTAATAGGAGGAGTTATAGGGAGAGGTTATATGGAGTAATAGGAGGAGTTATAGAGAGAGGTTATATGGAGTAATAGGAGGAGTTATAGGGAGAGGTTATATGGAGTAATAGGGGGAGTTATAGAGAGAGGTTATATGGAGTAATAGGAGGAGTTATAGAAAGAGGTTATACAGAGTAATAGGAGGAGTTATAGGGAGAGGTTATATGGAGTAATAGGAGGAGTTATATGGAGAAGTTATATGGAGTAATAGGAGGAGTTATAGGGAGAAGTTATATGGAGTATTTAGGAGGAGTTACGTTATAAATAGAGGTTATGTGGAGTCATAGGTTATGGGGATGTTATGGAGCAATTTCAGTGTGATAATTAAGTTCTTAAATTCTTAACTGCCAGACTACAATGTGGTCTCTCCATTGTCCTTGGATAACATATAGGTTGATTGAACATGAGTGTTAGTGTAGGTATATTCCTTGCTTATGCATTTGTGCTCAGTCTGTTTAGTTGTTGACGTCTTATTGTATACCTTTGAAATATATCTCATGGAAAGGGGAATAATACCTCCCGAACCACTAAGACTAGGAGAACAGACGCACAAACAGTTCATTCCCTTATAAACGTTATTATGATACCCTAGAAGGAGACCGGCTGCACAGTCTGATTCTATGGAACTATTCTGGGCAGGAGCCTCGTGTGCAGTCGGTCAGAAAGAAGACCTCCATGCAAATCCTAAACCCCTGGACCGATCTGGGTGATTTTTGAATATGTTGTTTCCCCAGATCGGGGCTATGAGGGTATATGCTTTTTGTGGGGATATTATGTGTTTTGGGGGTATTTTCAGATTGTATTAAAATTTTGATATTTTTCACATGGACTTAACTGAGTTAAAGACAGCAGTTGACTCAATTACCTCCTAGGTAGAGGGGAGGGATTGTATGTCCTGTATGGGAGTGTCACACTGTACAACACTGTTATGATTGGTTGACAATTTTGTATCACTGTCCCCACCAAGGTCCACCTGGTTGTATCCCTTGGCTGGAGACTTGCATAAAAGGCCGATCTGGCTACCATTAAAGCACACCTTCTTCGCCCTCAATCTAGAGTCTTGTCTCTTATTGGGGAAAACTGCTATAAAGCTATCACTACTAGCTCTTGTAAGAGCTTCTATACTTGGAAGACTACCTGGAATGCCATAACACCCCTCACACTCGGGAGAAGGACGCCGTCTGGTGGTGGAAACCCCTCTACTCATCGTGTTAACCCCTCAATGCTTTCCTATGGGGTTCTTATTTGATGCTGGACTCCGTGAGGACGTCCAGCATCAGATAAGTGCGATTTACTCTGTGTAAATCGCGGAAGCACCTCTAGTGACTGTCAGGGAGACAGCCACTAGAGACTGGATTAACCCTGCAGTTTAACATAGCAGTTTCTCCTAAACTGCTATGTTTTCAGCTGCAGAGTTAAACCCAGGGGGACCTGGCACCAAGACCACTTCATTGAGCTGAAATGGTCTGGGTGCCTATAGTGGTCCTGTAAAAGACCTCAATCTCCTCAAAGAAGCCTTTTCAACACATTAACAGAACCATCTGACATGTAGCAAAATTATCATCCAGAAAAAAATACACATGTACACTGTGTCGGTAGTCACCATTGCCGTGACCATATTAACTCTGCCCTTCTCTCTGGCAGCAATTTTTATAAACTGTTGGCCTTCATTTTCCCCAGAGTTGCTCCACCTTGGGCTGGGGTTATGTGTGACTGGGTCTACTGTTGGTAGTGTTGGTGTATGTTTGGCACCTCTTGTGATTTCCCAGATGTTTCTAATGTTTATGTACCCCTGTGTCCATTATGGGTGCAGAGTGTGTATTATTGTTAATTATTAAATGTCTTGTGTACTCTCCTGTCCTGCTGATGCTATCTACCAACAAGGTGAATTTGGCTGTGGAGACTATGCAGATCCACCTGTTAGTTGGTAACAATCTTGCAAGGATTTACAGCACTGCCTGATTTGTATATTACAGTTTATGCAGGTTTTTGTCAGTGTTTCTCGTCCTCACCCATTTATATAATATTGCATTGTGCTATGTGAGTGCCTGTATGAGTCCCTATTTGTTTTTGCTTCGTGTATTGGATTGAGTGTGTCACCATAAATGTAATGTACTGTGGATAGGGGCTAGTCCTGAGATTAAATAAAGTATTGTGTGCTAGTTCCATAGGGAACTGTATGTCCTGTGTGGGTTGTTTGGTGCTTGTAGTAGCAGAGATGTTTGGGGTATGTTGGTTGGCTGTACTGTTCCCTGATCCCAAGGACGTGTTAAAAAAGAGCTAGACCTGAGACTCACAAGTGCCTTTGTAAAGGCAGTAGTTGGATGCAGCATAGGCAGAGGTATCGGTACCTGACTGGGAAAGGAACAGAAGTGGTAAAGGTAGGGAGGACATCCAGACAGAAAAAAAACTGCTGCAGTCTTGTCCTCAGAGACCCAAGTCAAGCTTCAGTGATGGGGTCTGAAGTGCTCCAGAGTCCCCTGGTAGCAGGGCCGGACTGGGAAAAAAATTAGGCCCGGGTATTTTTCAATCAGAGCGGCCCCCAAAGAAGGGGGCGGGGCCAGAGAGTGTGTGTTTTGTCATCACTAATGACAAGCACGCCCCCTCTCAAAGTGAGCATGTTAGTTCAATGCCCAGAGCCCTGCTGAAGAGCTCTGGCATTAGAAAAAGGCCCTGAATTTGTTCTGCGCAGCGCAAGCAAATTTAATAACATGCTTGCGCTGTGTTTGCTTTTAAATTGTCTCTGGTGTCTCCACAAGTGGGATACCAGAGGACAAAAGGGCCAAGAAAGTGCATGGTGCATATGTTTGGAGCCTGCTTGTGGGATTGCGTGTGTGTAGAGTGTGGTGTGGTATTGTGTAAATAGGTCAATTTCATTTGTGTTTGTGGTGTAATATGTGTGGCAAGGGGCTGTAGAGAGTGTGTGTATAGGGGGCATAGTTTTATAGGGGATGCAGCGAGTGTGTGCATACGGGCTGAAGTGTGTGTATATATGTGACGTAGTGTGTGTAGGGGTTGCAGAGAGGGTGTGTTTAGAGAATGTTGTATGTGTTTGCTGACAAGGAATGTAGTGTGTGTGTGTGTAGGAGATCTACTGTGTAAAGGACCCAGTGTGTGTGTATGTGTGTGTGTAGAGGATTAAGAGTGCATATAGGGTAAGGGATCTAGTGTGTATCTGGAGCGTAATGTGTGTAGTGGTGCAGTGTGAGGGGTGCTGTAGTGTGTGTGTGTTTGTGTGTGTGTATATATGTATATATATATATATATATATTTGGACTTATTGTATGTGTGAGGGGCGCAGTGTGTGTATGTAAGAGGAGTTCTGTGTGAGGGTGTTTTTATCTGCTGTCACATTCTAGGTTTCTAATTTTCTTTGTCTGTTAACTCACTGAGGGTTATTTTATATATATATATATATGTGTGTGTGCTGTATATGTGTGGGAGTGTGCTGTGTGTGTTTGTGTCTGGGTGCTGTGTGTGTTTGGGGGTGCTGTGTGTGTCTGGGGGTGCTGTGTGTGTCTGGAGGTGCAGTGTGAGTTTGGGTGCTGTGTCTGGGGGTGCTGTGTGTGTCTGGGTGCGGTGTGTGTGTCTGGGTGCGGTGTGTCTGGGTGTGCTGTGTGTGTCTGGGGGGTGCTGTGTGTGTCTGGGTGCGGTGTGTGTGTCTGGGTGCGCTGTGTGTGTCTGGGTGCGCTGTGTGTGTCTGGGTGCGCTGTGTGTGTCTGGGGGTGCTGTGTGTGTCAGGCTGCTGTGTGTGTCTGAGTGCACTGTGTGTGTCTGGGTGCGCTGTGTGTCTGGGGGCTGTGTCTGGGGGTGCTGTGTGTGGTGTGTGTCTAGGGGTGCAGTGTGTGTCTGGG